CCCCCCGCACCCCCCACACCCCTTGCCGCCGCCCGGGCCGCGGCCGGTCTTCGGCGCAGTCAGCTGGCGTCGGGACGGCACGTGACCGGCCGACCGGGAGCCGGCTGCGCCTCTTCTGCCCCGGGCACCGGAAACGCCGCCCATGGGTCGGCATAATCGCGCATAATTGAGGGATGGCCGAGCGCTGTGCGTGCCTTTGTTGCCGGCAGTGACTCAAAAAATGGCCGAGCGTGACCCCGTGTGGTCCGGTGGCCGACTCCCGTGATAGCGAGGTAGCCCGTCCCGCCCCAGGGCAGATGATGACCGGCTTGGTCAGCCGTTTGACTCATGTGCGCCGCCGAGCTTCTGATAGCTTGCCTGATATTTGAAGATCCGAACGGATAGCAGAGCTTATTTTTTTATAACGCTGTTTTAGGCTGCGGAGCGTCGTGTTCTTGTCCGCTATAACCAGCGTGGAACTGATGTGTTAATAAACGGCATTGATGCCTGGTCAATGTGTCTGGACACCTTGTACATTTCACACCGTTCATGTCTTGTTGGAGTCTGTTCTGACATCCAAGTCGTGTTTTTTTTTTCACGGCTTTGGCTTCAGTCCATATCCGCGTTTCCACACCCTGTCGGCCAAGTTTCTCGTGACATCGTTCTGTCCGCGTTTAAACGTCAGCGCGTCTGAGCACAGTTCGTTAAGCGCCGGTTTATCGACCGTTCGCCCGGCTGCGCCGTCGCGCGCCGTTTGCGCTTCTCGGTGTGCTCAGCTCACCGCCGCGACGGCAGCGGCGTGCAGCGCGTCGTCCACTGCCTCCTCGGTGTGCTCAGCTCACCGCCGCGACGGCAGCGGCGTGCAGCGCGTCGCCCGCTGCCTCCTCGGTGTGCTCAGCTCACCGCCGCGACGGCAGCGGCGTGCAGCGCGTCGCCCGCTGCCTCCTCGGTGTGCTCAGCTCACCGCCGCGACGGCAGCGGCGTGCAGCGCGTCGCCCGCTGCCTCCTCGGTGTGCTCAGCTCACCGCCGCGACGGCAGCGGCGTGCAGCGCGCCGCCAGCTGCCGTCGTGAGATCGGCCGCTCTACTTCAAACGCGATTCGGCGGCCGGAGGCCGGGGCCAGCGGCCGCGCCGGGGCCGGGACCAGCGTCACCTGCGGTGGCCGCGTGTCCGGTACCGCGCGCCGGGCCGCGCCGGGGCCAGTGTCACCTGCGGTGGCCGCGTGTCCGGTACCGCGCGCCGGGCCGCGCCGGGGCCAGCGTCACCTGCGGTGGCCGCGTGTCCGGTACCGCGCGCCGGGCCGCGCCCGGCTGCCAGCTGGACCCGGCCTGCCGCTGGCCCCTCGCTACGACTTTGAGAGCGTGCAGCTGCCGGTGGGTTGTGGCGTGGGGAGGATGGGGACGAACACGTGTGGATTGGGTGGGCGCTGGTGCTTGTTTCGGTGGGTAACTGCGGAAGGGTGGCGTGGTGACGCACGCCCGTTAGAAGGCCTCGCCGGGCCGTTGTGGTTAGATGGGCCGCCCGCAGGTCACGACCCGGCGACGTGCGCGCTTCCGGCGCCAGAGCCGAGGGCGAACGAACACGTTGTCGTTGGCGTGGTGGCCAATGTTGTCGGGATCGCCAACAGTCGCAGAACCGTGTAGTCTGCTGTCCCTAACTTGTTGTCTCTGGCTGTCGTCTGAAAAATAACATGTTCTGCGCTCGAGGGGACTGCATTGCATGCTGGTGGCTATGCGGGCTCCCGTGGAGACGTTCTTTACTCGTCGTTCGCCCGTTTCTCTGGAACCACGCAGTGCGGTGGCCTCAGTGATCTGTAGTCTCGTCGCCAGTCCCACGCCCTGTCCTTTATGTCAACGTCGTCGCGAGCTCGACGTTTGCGGGAGCGTCTCGCTGGTGTGTCCATTTGTCTCCAGGTGCTGACAGTGCGCTGATCTCTCTCCGGGTGCTGACAGTGCGCTGACCTCCTGATGCTGTCAGCGCGGCGGTATCCCACCGGGTGCTGACGGCGAGAGGTGCTGACAGTGCACAGGGACAGGCCCGTCGCTGGGCGCAGACGGCTGACGGGGTTCGGGGAGCGGTGCGGGTGACCCCACTGACCTAGATCACGCTCCCCATCGTTCACCGGCTGCGGTGCCGGCCAGGCGGCGTCTCGGGATCGTCCCTCCTCCCGACGGCCGCTCGTGTCCGCCGGGGCCATTAGTCTGCCGCCGACGCTGGGGCGTCCGGACGCGGTCAGCAGCGCACCGGCTGGTAGCGAGCGGTGGCGGCGGCGGCCCGACCCCGCTCGGACATGTCCGCTCCTCCGCCGTGGACGTGAGACGGCGACGCCGACAGACCTTATTAGGCCTCCACCGTCCCGCCCCACAGGCCGTGCGATGACTGCGCAGTATCAGGATAGACGCCGTCTGCCGTGAACGGCCGTGGTTTGCCGAACTCTGAAGCAGGCACCGCCAGTCACTTTTGCACAGGGTTTGTTTACGTTTTTTGCTTCACCGGAGAAAACGCCCGATGCGGCCGGCTATTGGTCTTTTCTCTCGTGATGTATATTCGTTCATATGTGGGCGCCCTGCTGGCTGTCGCACGTGTTCATGAATGCCCGTTGGTTCCGCTACTGCAGTTGAACGCAGTTTGTGCCGGCCTGTTGGGTCGCGGCGAAAACACCGCGGCCCGTGGTTGAAGTGTATCGGAACAGAACAACTCGGAGCAGGGCGTTGTCACGAGTCGTTTGGTCGTTCTGCAGCGGCCGCTGGAGCAGCAGGCGCTGCAGGACGGGTCCAGACGTGAGGCGCTGTTGGGGGCGAGACGTGTCTCCGCTGGCGGTGCTGACGAGCCTGATGGGTGAACTGATGGGACTGACGTGTCTGCTGGTGGATGAGTGTCTGTGGGAAGGGGGGGGGGGGGGGGGCGGGTGGCGCTGGGTGGGCAGGCAGTGTTGTGTTGTCCTGTGCCGTCGCAACGACACAGGAAGCCGACACGCCACCGTTGATTGGCCGGTTGTAACCAGGCTGTGCGAGTCCCTGTGTGCTATTCGGCGCCGCTGGTGTCTAGCGCACTCTCGTGGGGCGCGGTATGCGGAACACCGCGAGAACACCTCACCAATGAATGCCTCGGATGCCGGCCCGCCGCGCCGTGGCGCGGGCCCTGTGCAGACCGGGCTAAGCCTGTAATACGCTTAGACCGGCCCCTGCAGCGCTGCTTTAATCGAGCCGTTGCTGGTGATCCCGCTAGAGATAATCCGAGTGCTTCGAAGGAGTGCCTCGCTTCCAACCGCACAGAACTATGCTGCCTTTTTACTGAAACAGCCGAAAATACTGAACATGTTTCCCAAGTACATACAATTGGCGCCACTTCAAGCGGCAGAATGCAATCAGGTGTGTCAAGCATCCAGCGTATTTTAAGCAGCAGCTCAACGAACATTTTAATGGGAGTAGGATATGCTTAGTATGGGGCTTGCAAGTGGTTCAGAAAACAAAACGCTGCGAAGTAAGTTTCCGTAGTCGCACTTGGTCCGTCTTAAGACTGAGCTATTTTGCCACATTCAGCCACGTGATGCCACGCTTTCAAAATATACTACATCAAGGTGTCATATGAATCTATTCTGATGGCTGGGCCAATAGGGGTCAAAGTCATATACTGCTATTGTTTATTTGCACTGTTGCACTCTAGCCAACCAGTGCTTTAGATGTTTTCCCAAACGAAGATGTGCGGCTTCATTCACGAAACCGATACGCCTGTGTCATTGCCAACACCTGAGCCCAGCCGGCCCGGCCTGGCCTGCCCTGCTTGGAGGAGATCCAGCTGGCAACAGCAGGCGCGTCGTGATGCCGCCCTGACGTCAGAATACGGGATGTGTTTGCAGCCCAGCGTCCGGTGGTCGCGCGAGCGGGATTGACGTCACATGCTATTCCAGGCCGGTGACGCGTGGTGTGACCTTTGGACTCTCATTCTGTCCTCTGGCCTTCGATCCCCCGGTTCTCTGGTCACCCGAGTCCTCGTGGTGACCCGTCACGTGGCCGATGCTCCCGGTGACCTGTCACGTGACCTGCACTCCCTGTGGCCCCTCGCCCACGCTGCCGCCTCCCAGCTAAACCATACGCCCATAGGGTCAGTCGGGTCATCATCCACCGTAGGGTGGTGGATGATGACCCGATTTCACGGCCTGAGCAAATCGTCGCCAAATTGTATGCGTTTGGGAGGCGGCCGTTGTGATACGGAAATCTGAAGTCATTAGCTGATGATGGGTGTGACTGGCGTCCGGCCTGGCCGCCGCCTTTGCTCGCCGGCATCGCTAGAGCGCAGACGGATGGCGGCAAATGCGCCAACCTCAGCGATGAGTGCTTCATCCCTCTACCCTGCACAAAAAGACACGACCTTTTCGCTCATCCTGGGACAAACGTGGGTGGGGAAACGCAACACAGTGGTTGTACGATATTACATTCGCGTCAAGTGGTCAAGCGTTGTGTTGTGGCGTGATGTGTTCGCAATAGATTCGTTTGTTAGGTTAATTGGTATCTTTGAGTTCTTCCGCTACAGACTTAACTGCATGTTCAGGTGTGTGTTATTATCAGGATGAAACCCAGATACACCAGGACACGCTCCCTCTCGTGGTGATTAGCAATGAACCCGTGTCATTCCGTTCCGTTTGCGTATTTAGTTGGCTCGAGGTATCCACCTAACGAGGTAACGAGAGAAAGTATCATTTATGAGGATAATGTGTTTTGGCGCTGCTCTCGGGGAATGCCGTTGTATTTCATGCGTTGAAATGCAAATAACTGAAGTTTATTGGAACTGTTTGCTTTGATTGTGCACCTTCTGCCTGATAATGCATACATTTGCCGACCCTATGTGACCTAACCTTGCAGTAATGGCCGGCTAATAGGGCTCTGCCGGCGCCGTGACCGTGCCGTGACGGTGTCTGCACGGCCGCTGCTGATGCCCCTGCACGGCGGCACATTGTGCGCGTGCACAGGGCCGCAGCTCCGCGCCTTTCACTCTCGCTCACGACGGCCGCCGCCTTCCAGCCAACTTCCTGAAGGCGAACGTTACCAACGCCACCTACCGGGCCGAGTGGGTGGCGCGCCAGGTCAGCTTCACCCGGCTGCACTACCTGGACGGTATCAACATCGACTTCGAGGACCCGGTGGGCGCCAAGGAGCCGGCGCGCGCCGCCTACGTCCAGCTGGTGAACGAGACGCGGCGCGCGCTCACGCGGTTCAACGTCCAGACAGTGGTGAGTGCGTCGTCTACAGGTGTGGGGCGAGGCCTGCCGTGCTCGTGAGGTTTGGTAGCGAAGGGAGAACGGCGGACTACTCGTCGAGGTGTAGGTGCTCCTAAAGCACACTGCTGTGCGGACAGTCGTGCGGGCCCTGTCGCGCGAAATGTGATGGCTGGCTCCAGCGGCTTGAAACGCTCCCAGTGTTGACGCGTAGTGTCTGCTGTCTGTCCAGCGACGATCGGCTCCAACTCTGTATGCACTTCCGGTGCATCCGTCCGCTGTTCCGACACATCCGTCCGCACATGTGACACATCCATCGGACTTGCGATACATGCGTCCGCACTTGTGACACATCCATCCGTACTTGGGACACATCCGCCCGCACTTCCGACAAGTCTGTTCGCACTTCCCACTCATCCGTCCGCACGTCTGACACGTCCGGCCGGCCACGCTCCAGCTCACAGTGGACGTGCCTTGGTCACCGGACTGCATCGACGGGCGCTGCTATGACTTCGTCGGCTTGCACAACTTCACCGACATGCTCTTCGTCATGGGCTACGACCTGCGCAGCCAGGTCGTCTCCAAGGAGTGCCTTGCGGGGTATGTCTAGAGGGGGAGGGGGTGGGGGGGCTCGCCAAGTGGTCACCTAGTGCCCCGTCTGCACGCGAAGGGGCCGGGTGTGTAATGTAAGAGCATGCATCGAAGCGTTCAGCAGTTTGTGCGAGGCTAGAAATCATGCGAGGTTAAACGTAAATGGTTCTCCGTCGGTTCAGAGGAGAATGTGAAAAATGACCGAAGGGCTCGAACCCTGCTTTAGTAAGCCGGTGCGTAGATACGCTGAGTGTATCAGGGGTGATTCTGCATTGTTTAATTTACATCCATAATGCAGTATACGAATTACACTGCGGTCGATACAGTTGGGTATTGCTATTCGGTTCACCGTGGACGTGGTCACCGTCGCTGTCCGGCACGCATCGACTGAGGAGTCGGTCTTCTGTCGGCAGTGCTAACGCACCGCTGAACAGAACTCTGGCCGGAGTGAGGAAGTACCTGCAAATGGGCATCAGCGCCAACAAGCTGGTGCTCGGCGTGCCCTGGTACGGCTACGACTACCACTGCCGCAACGTCACACACGTAAGCCCCGTGCCCTCGTGTGGCGGGGACTTCTGGTGCCTGGACGTCTCTCGCTCGATCCAATGGTTGCATAATGTGCGCTTGATGTTTCAAGGAGGATAAAGAGCTATGAGGGTGAACATACACGGTCGTTGTTCGTCCATTGTGCATGTATGTAGCGAGACGGTCCACATGGCGCCTTTTCGTGTACGTGAATCAGCACTGAAAGCTGTGCAGTGACCTTATTCGCATGCGTGAGGATCATGTGAACGCGCATCGTCACGCCGGCACATTTTAACACAAACAGTCTTACACAAACACATCTGTAAACTCGGTGTGGCGTGACTGTTGGCGGAAAGGTAGCAGACCCGGTTCGCTCAGGAGCATGTAATATTTTCGCGTAGATGAGGTCATGCGTCTTCCTGGTATTCCTGAGGAAGCGCGTTTATTGACTCTTGCGTTACGTATGGCGCAGCCTCTTGGCTATTCCGGTGGTGATCCATGCTGGGGCGCTCGTCCGACCCGGTCAGGCGTCTGGCGCTCGTCGTCGGCCGTATCTCCTAGCGGCATCTGTCGAGAGTGCCATCAACCTTCACTTCCCGGCACCGTCTCGTTTCAGAACGGCACTGTGTGTCAGATCGACCGCGTGCCGTTCCGTAACGTCAACTGTAGCGACGCGGCCGGCTCCGAGCGGCCGTACAGCCGGCTGGCCGTCTGGAACCGGTACGCCCTGCAGCGTTTCTGGTCCAACGACTCCCAGTCGCCCTACTTCAATGTCAAGGTCAGATGCGGTCCGGCGCGTGGCCACGTAGCGTCGGGCGTGGTGCGCAGTGGTAGGATTGGAAGGGACTCGATGCGATGCGTTTTCTCCTGTGGGATGGTGATGGGGCACAGTAGCTGCAGTTTGACACGGGGGACGTCTCTTGTCAAATACTTGCTGGTATCGTTTCTCATGCCACTCCTGGATTGTCATCGGAGATATCTTGAGGTGAGCTTATGAACACTCGCCTTAGCTTATCCAGTAACCCGATGAAGGCCTGGAGTTGCATGCTTAGGTGGCGAATACCTGCGACTGGTGTTATGATCATCAGCGCGGTAGTCCCCAAGACTATACACCATACAGTATGCATCCTTATAGTGTAAAGTATCATGCGTCCGAAAAATACGCATTCGGATGGGGTACCGTAAGTTTTCAATATGGAACTTCCCCCCTCTTATTTCTGTGGACCACTTCATTTCAGCGCGTTCCCCCTCCCCCTCCCCCAGTCACCCTTCACACCAGCGTTCCCGGTGACGCGACGCCTTGGCTGTGTGAGGGCGCGCGGTTCGCCGCGGCTCCACGCTGACCCCACTTCAACGGCGCCTCGTCCTCCCGTGCCGCAGTTCGAGGGCTGGAACCAGACGCACCAGGTGTGGTTCGACAACGCCACCAGCCTCACCTACAAGTACATGGGCGCGGCGAGCCTCAAGCTGCGCGGTGTCGGCATATGGGCGGCCAACTTCCTGGCGGCGGGCAACTCGTCCGAGGACCGGACCGAGCGCGACCTCATGTGGGGCGCCGTGCCGCGCTGGAACTGGCAGAGGTCCGGCGGCGGCCCGCCGCCGTCGCCGCCGCCGTCCGCCGCCGGCCGGCTGCGCTACCAGCTGAGGTCGGCGGCCCGGCGCGGGGTGGTGCTGCGCCTGCTGGGGTGGCAGAGCCAGCCGGCCGAGCGACAGCAGCCCTGGCCGATCATCAGCGCCTGACGCGGCGTCAGGCGCTGATGGAGGCGAGGCGCGTCTGCTGGCGGGACTGACGGGACTGGTGGGTGGACTGAAGAGTATGATGGGACTGTTGGGTTGACTGATGGGTCTGGTGGGTTCACTAACGGATGTGATGGGTGAACTGATGGGACTGATGGGATTGATGGATGGACTGACGGGTCTGATGGAACTTACGGTTGGACTGACGGGCGGGTCTAATGGATGGACTGGTGGGTCTGAGGGATGGACTGGCGGGTCTGATGCGTCGGCTGGTAATACTGATGAGCGGGCTGATGGGTCGGCCTGACAGGGCATCCAACTGCAGCTGAGCAGCAAAGCCTCCCTCTGGCACGACTGTCCACGGTGGGACTGCGCAGCTGATGACTCTGACCTGTCCCGGCGCATGTGGTCTGCGGTTTGACCCGTGGCCCGTCGGAGGCCGCGTATGGAACCGCTACCCGTCTGGTCTGCAACGAGGCTGTGGACGCCGGCCCGATAGCCCCCAGTAAAACACCGCGGCGCTGAGATAGCCCCCAGTAAAACGCCGCGGCGCTGAGATAGCCCCCAGTAAAACGCCGCGGCGCTGAGAATGCGTGTGTCGAGGTGCCTGAGACTGATGCTAGGGTTGCAGCGGATGTGTGATCGAGGTGCGACAGCGGGACGAAGCCTGATGAGAAGCATGGACTGGTATTAGCATGACCAGTGATTTGGACCCATGAACCTTATCCCATCGTATAATGAGATCGAGCTTGCACAACATGGAGCGAAGACGGCATGCCAAGTTTAAATTGTTTAGGTATTAGAGGCATCGGTTTGAACAGTGTCTGACTGCCGATAAAGATGACTTTTACTTGTGATTAAGCGCCACTGATGTATGCATTAGTTCTTAACGTACATGTAGACAAGTGCAGGTGACTTTTTGTGTCGGTGACAGGTCTGCGCTCAGTACTGGAGTACCTAGCGAGCGCTTATGCGGATGATGAGGGTCCGCCCCTTTTCATTCCGTTTCCTTGGCTTTGGGGGCACCGGGTGCGTGAATGCAAAAACATGAACAGGTTCCGATGCTGTGCGTGATGTGCTTGAGATTCCCGACTCTTCCGAACGTTCGACTCAGGTACTGGTGGCTTACCGGCGGCGAGCGGCAGTCGTCGCTGTGCGCTCGCGCTTCTGGCTGAGCAAAGTTTAGTTTTAAGTTTCGCTGCCGCGTAGTTAAGTGTAGCTTATAGAGCGACGGCAGTGTAGTCCCGTTTCGTGTAATGGTGGGCGTGTGCTTCGTAGCACACACCCCGTGCTGCTGAAGACCCTGGTTGCGAGGCCCGGTGTTGGGAGCCCACCCCTGCCGGTCTGAGGCTGAGGTGCCCAGTCGCCACTCTAGAGTCGCGGAGTGATGACTAGTGGGCAGGATGCCAGGTCACTTGCCATGCATGGTAAACTTCCAGGGTAAGCACGGCATTGTGTATGTACTCCACGGTGTTTTGTGTTGCGGATGGGGCCGGCCGCACGGTCGGCTCATACTCGACGTCTCCCTTGCTGTATTATACTGGTTAAGTCGGGATGCGTCTGTGGTAACGCTGTATTCAGGGGCATTTTTGTAATCTGTGTACATGCTGGCGGCGGTAAAAATGCTTGCCTAGGTGTATTGTCATCGGGATGACAATTGCTTTCGTAAAAAGCCATCTGATATAGCGCGTATCACTCCGATGCGTCATTTTCCCATATGTGGCTGACTGGCATTCGACAGGCTGGTGCGATAGGGAACTCGGGGCTTCCGGACGCGGCAGCCGTCTGTGTCTTTGTGACGCACGCCAGATTGCGGGATTTCACGCGATGATTACAAGTGTTAGGTGTGTCATCTGAACTGACGCTGAACAGAGGGTAGAGTGCTGTAAGCTGAGAGAGCGTGCCAAGTTCTTTCAAAATGTACTTGCCATAAGGAGGAATGAATAAACCGATATCCGAGTACGTGTGTGTGGTTATCGGCGCTGGTCTTCTGTAGTTGAGGCGTCATCAGTGCAGCGGCGCGAGAGACTTGGAGCCTCCTTGGCCATTTGCCGAACGCCGACTGATTGCACTTCGGCTCTGGCTCGGATTTTGGTATCCTGGGTACAACCCAAAGATCGATTGACTAGAGACCGTGCACATAAACGGGCGGCCGAACTCAAAATAACAGCAGGGTCACTGTTCACACGTCTCTTTCGGCCCACAACCGCGTTGAAAGACTGAACTTTTATGCTTGTTTTGTTATTTTCCTAAACGGACAATTGCCAAAAGCACTGCAGTCGCGTGTCACTGAGCACTGGCCCGAACCCCCACTATTCACTGATAGGTCCAAAGCACGAAGCAGAGCACTGATAAAGTTATTCAGGCGTGCAAATAAATTCTTGCATGCACCTTTTTATGCAGCAAGCACAGCTAAGCATTTTTACACACTAAAGCGTCTAAAATGTTAAAAGGTGTCAAACCAACCAACACAGTGGTACCTGTATGCACACAACAGAAAAACTTGTTTCAATTTAGCTGCATGACATTTCATGAATGTATGAAATGTCCCAGAGTTGTCGACTGTTGTGTTTACTAATCCGTACCTTGCACGTCGTAGGGACGACGTGTGGATCTCGAGTCGAGTCAAGTTGATGTCGAGTGTCGGCCGAGTCGGGGGGAGCGGGGCTTTATTCTGCGTATATGTACAAATTGCAGTCCACTGCACCGTAGCTGAGAAGCCAGTCATTGCGTATTTGGAACATTGGTAATCGCTTGGGGTTGTGGGCGTGTTGTTTTCTGCTTGCTGCAGGATGTTAAATATGTAGACCCGCAGACTGGAGATAAGCCCCTATGAACATTGAATATTAGTTCCTATCGGTAGATACACCTGCCTTTGGCCACGATGGTAAGCATTGTCAGCTCACTGAGCCTATTTTTGGCAGCAGCTGTTATTTCATTATACGCTTGGTTATGTAATGTTCATGGTATTGGTGGTATCATAGTATTATCCTGGTATCACTGAGTTCATTTGCTGTTTGAAGTTGTCTCATGAATGGCTCAGCCTAGATGATAATCTAACCCCTAAGACTCAATTCAGTGATTTGTCTGTCAAAGTATTTTTATTTTATGCTATGGTTTTTATGTGGCTGTCTTAGATATTATGGATTTTGATCTGCAATTAACCTAGTCAGTCAAATGCCTCCTCTTTTATTGCTCACATTACTTGTCAAATCTTGGATGTATGGCTCCAGGTTATTGTATGACAGCTGTACAATATGGCTCAATATCTGGTGCTGCTAAAAGAGTAAATGCAACTTATAATGTCAAGAATGTTAGCTTCATCTTTGTTTACCAGCCTAATCTTTGCCTGTATTTCAGAGTTTCTTCGGCTTTGGTCAGGGTGCTGAAATTGACATCATTCTGGATGGATCTGATACAAGAAAAATGGCTGAAATGAAGTCTGATGATGGAAAAAGAGAAAGGTTTTATCTCTTTTATGATGGTGAAAGTCTTGCTGGCAAGGTATGACACAGTATGAGCATGGTTGGAAATAAAAAAGAAACATGTGTTAACCATATGCTGGTGTATAGAAAATGATAGCAGTTCATTTCTTACACTAGTTTGAGGCATGGTTGCAGGCATAACACACTGCCTAATTCAAACCTACTGATGTAGTCATTATTTTTCTTGTCTTTATACAAAAGAAGCATCTTAAAATTATATTTCAAAATGTTGTTCACCATGGAACTCCATGAAATACATATCAGTCATTGAGATGACATACTATTCTACCATAGTATTTTGAGAAATATATTTTCTTGTGAAGAAATTCAAAACATAAAAAAGTTTAACCTGTAAAAACTGAAAGATTAATTTGAGTTGCACATGGGTTATGCTGGACCATACTGTGTTATTCAGGTGCATCACCAGAAATTCAAACCTTCCATATTCACAGCTGGTGGTCTGGATGTCAAACAGATAGTTGAGGAAGGCCAAACAAATCATTTGTGACCAGATTGTTGAAACATTAGGATTGGTGTTTCCTTTATGGAAGATGATGTGAGGCCTTGTGTCCCTTGTTTTGTATATAGAATATGCATGCATGTAATATACTTATATGCTGTATGGGGCTAACAGCTACTCTGGGGCATGGCCAGAGGTTCCCCTCAAGAGCATGAGATCCAGGCCTTTCTGTGGTTTAGGTATATGTGCAGGCATAATATGAATATTTCCTTAGTGTATGGGAGTGTGGCCTTCATCCCATTCAGAATTTTTATACATACTTTTTAGAATTGTTGATGTATAGCAGTTGATGTATATCTTCCTAATGTTTGTGCCATAGGTTTGTCATTTATTTTCACATTTTCACTGTAATTGTATTGTATTTTATGAATGGTGATATCATGCATGTAGTTATTATATCATGCACTGCCTCAGGTTAACATCACTCTCAAAAAGCCAGGCTCAAAGCTAGAACACCATGGCATCAAGATTGAGTTCTTGGGCCAGATCGAGACTCACTATGACCGTGGCAGCCACCATGAGTTCCTCTCACTGGTGAAGGAGCTGGCACGGCCTGGCGAGCTGCAGCAAAATATCAGCTACCCATTTGACTTCAACCAGGTGGAGAAGCCATATGAGTCATATGCTGGCTCGAATGTCCGGCTCAGGTGCGTCATTGGAGAGAAGTGGGTAGGTTAGAGATGGGTTGCAAGTGCACTGAAGGCCTGTTATTGTAACTGAGACATGCCAAAGTGCATGAAATGGGTGTAAGAGATGGAACAGTTGTTGAGACTATCATTATTGTCTGGTGTGTTAGTGTGCACACAATGTTTGTGGACAAAAGGACGATGGCCCGAACATGTACTCCATCCCTGATACTGATGCCTTGTCTCAATTCTTCCGTGGAAGGGTTTGAGGGAGTCTATGGGTCATGCTGTTGTGTGTTCTTTGCCTAGTGTACATGGTATTATTACATACTTGAGCTTTCACATTTGATGCCACTGTAAGACTCGATTCAAGTCAGCTGTCACATGTCATGCCACTCTAAGACTCGATTCAAGTCAGCTTTCACGTGTGATGGCACTGTAAGAATCAGTTCAAGTCAGCTTTCACATGTGGTGCCACTGTAAGACTCGCTTCAAGTCAGCTGGGGTGCTATCGATGTTCTGATCCACGGGGATGCGTGGGGGCGGACCTCAGATTGGGCTAGCATGGCAGAGCTCTGGTGGTAAGCAGCGTCGCCCAGCGTGACGCGAGTGTCGTGTGATGTGGCGTGACGCGGTGGCCAGGTACGTGCTGCGCGTGACGGTCGTGCGCCGCCTGTCGGACCTGGTGCGCGAGATGGACATCGCCGTGCACACGCTCTCCCAGTACCCGGACATGAACACCAGCATCAAGATGGAGGTGGGCATCGAGGACTGCCTCCACATCGAGTTCGAGTACAACAAGTCCAAGTGAGGGTCCGACGCGGCAGGACGGTGGTGGCTGTCATGGGCTCTGACTTTGATATGCACAGGGTAGGCTGCCGTGTCAGATGTCCTTTTCTTTAAACAAGTTATTTCGTGCGTCATTTTATTGTAAGTACATGCAGATTTATATGAGCGAAGTGGCTCGGTTGGAACTCTTATGGTCCCATCGATATCGAAGGCCTCCAGTCTCTAATCGCTGTCTTTGAGACTGTCACCAATTCCGATCTCGCTTTACTTCACCTCCGATCTGGCTATCACCTCCGATTCCAATGTCTTTCACTTCTGATCTCACTGTCTCACCTTTTATCCCACTGTCTTTTACCCCCAATATCACTGTCTCTCAGCTCTGACCTTACTGTACCTCACCTCCGATCTCACTGTCTCTCACCTCCGATCCCATTGTTTCACCTCCGATCTTACGTTCTTTCAGCTCCGAACTTACTGGATCATCTCCGATCGTACTGCATCACCCCTGATCTTCCCGTCTTTCACCTCCGATCTCACTGTCTCTCACTTTCGACCTCACTCTCTCTCATCTCTGACCTCATTGTCTCTCACCTCCGATCTCACTGTCTCTCATCTCCGATCTCACTGTCTCTCATCTCCGATCTCACTGTCTCACATCCGATTTCACTGTCTTTCACCTCCGATCTCATCGTCTCACCTACAATCCCACTATATCAGCTTCGATCTTACTGTCTGTCACCTCCGGTCCTACTGTATTTCACTGACGTCATCTGTATTACCATGCCATCATGGGGAAGACTACCGTGTCAAATGTGCTTTGGCTGAAAATAATATTTGGCGCGTCGTGGTTTCTTGTATACGTGTAAATTTATGTCCGGGGAGCGGCTGGACAGAAGGTCCCTATAATCCCCGCTGTAGGCAACTGGTCAAGATCTACATCCTGTGCTAACGGAAAATAGTATGATCGAGAACGCAAACTAGTAAAGCTCATGCAAGCACATATGTTTATGTTGCGATTTCCTTTAAGTCTTTTGCTATGATAGGATGCTGGTGTTCGTCTCGGCTGAACACGCTGCAGAGCGTTGACTGTGAGAGACTCGTGAGCTACCCGTGAACCAATCGGCTGTCGGCTTCTCAGGTACCATCTGAAGGATGTGATTGTTGGGAAGATATACTTCCTTCTGGTGCGGATAAAGATCAAGCACATGGAAATCGCCATCATCAAACGGGAAACAACAGGGTCCGGTCAGTATCTGCACCAGGCGTCACGACGAAGCCGGCTTTGGTTTTGCGCTATTTTTCGTTGCCGGCTTGGGCATCACTTTGATGTTGCGTCGTTTGAAACGGTTGACTGCGCCTTCGACTTCGTAGCGTTTTTAACAGCTGGCCTCGGCCTCGATAAAGTTTGAATGATGGCTCCGGGTTCTGCTCCATCGAAACTTAGCTCGCTTTGACTGTCATGTTGACTTTCTGCTGTGGTTGGCTTCACTTCACAAGGACAGCATTGCTTGTATCGGTACTCTAATATACCACGCAATTTTGAAAGGCTATGACAAATACGGCTAAAACTCCAACTAGTCGGCCGTTTTCAAGGTCAATCGTGTGGAAAGTTCGAATCTGACGGCGGCCGGAGAACTAGCTGTCCGAAGCGTCGTGTGAACTCCGTGTGATTTTGCCTGATCCTATATAGCTTCAGCAGACGCGAAAAGGTTTCAGTTGCGCAAAGCTTGATTATAGACTAGATTCGGCTCTAGCTTCGGCCTCGGGATTTTTAAGGGATGGTAGTTTGGCCTTGGCATTGTGTTTTCTGGCTACGAAGTTGCTGTGTTCGGCTTCGCATGTGGAAAGTTTGAAGCCGCTAGCTTGGGATTTGGTTTCACGTTTTAAAAATACGAAGCCACTGACTTTGGCCTCGGATCACCTTTGCAGTTTCAAACCTCGATGGCTTGCCTTTAAGCCTTTAAACCCTGGCATTGTGTTAACTTGGGGTGCGGCTTCGAAACCAGAATCCCGGCTTCGTTCCCATGCTTGATCCGTCGGGCTCGGCTGGTCCGCCGCTCGTCTGCCCTGATCCGTCCCGCGGCCTCAGGTGATCTGGGCCTCCCCGCGCGCCCCCAGCCGCCGCTCGTCCGCCCTGATCCGTCCCGTGGCCTCAGGTGACCAGGGCTCCTCTGCGCGCCCGCAGCCGCCGCTCGTCCGCCCTGATCCGTCCCGCGGCCTCAGGTGACCAGGGCTCTTCTGCGCGCCCGCAGCCGCCGCCCGTCCGCGTTGGTCCGTCCCGCGGCCTCAGGTGACCAGGTCTCCTCTGCGCGCCCGCAGCCGCCGCCCGTCCGCGTTGGTCCGTCCCGCGGCCTCAGGCGACCAGGGCTCCTCTGCGCGCTCGCAGCCGCCGCTCATCAGCCTTGATCCGTCCCGTGGCCTCAAGTAACCCTGATACCGTGACCCGGGTCCCTCTGCGCAGGTCCGAACACGTTCAACGAGAACGAGACGATCGCCAAGTACGAGATTATGGACGGCGCGCCGGTGCGGGGCGAGAGCATACCGATCCGCGTCTTCCTGGCCGGCTACGACCTCACGCCCACCATGCGCGACATCAACAAGCGCTTCTCGGTGCGCTACTACCTGAACCTGGTGCTGGTCGACGAGGAGGACCGGCGCTACTTCAAACAACAGGTGACGGCTCGGCTCAGCCGGCGCCCTCGTGCGGGCCCTGGGGTTCTGAGCGGTGTTGGACGAGTGTGTACAGATTGTCTTGCATTGTGCGGGCTGCTCTGTTGTATTCTGTGGTAGAAAGTGGTGACAATCAGTGGCTGATGCTCGATAGTCCGCGTCACATTTCCGCTGTTTGTCAGCAGGCTGTGCTTCAGTTGAGACGCGGCAGCAGGTGGATGTCCCAGTGCATGCCCCGCTGCACCGCTGGTCAGCCGTGGGATCCTGACAGTTTGTGCACGCCTAAACCGTTTACATCCTCCGCCGACATGATCCACCAATGATGATGATTTGTCATTATTATGATTTTGTATGTGCTGTAAGGTCCACAGGATGAATTTTATCCCGGATACGTCCTAGTAAATAAAGCATGTGGGAAGCATAGTTATAAGTGCACCCATGTCCCTGACACGCGAATGCACATGCACACGATACACCGCACTAGCTTACATTACGCCAGTCTCGAGTTCCGCTGACTAGTTGGACAGCATTTGACATTGCGTCCGGTGTGTACAAGCGTGTGCCGAGGGAGCGCCGCTGGTCTGCAGGAGATCACGCTGTGGCGGCGCGGTGAGCGGCGGCACCGGTCCCAGCCGAACCAGCCGCACCAGCAGACGCCCGTCACCATCAGCAGCATCCAGCAGCAGCTGGCGGAGGGCAACATTCAGCAGCGGCCCGCCACGCTGCACACGGTACGCAGTTCCGTCTGTTCGGCGCTTTCTCACTCTTCTTTCTGTCTGCTTCTGCCCGCCCCTTTCTCTTCTTTCCCTGTTTGTGGAATCGTGAATGGAGGCTTTCAAATTCCAAGTTGGTATGTTCTCCTGTCTAGATTTGTGCTGATATCCGGATCGCCATATCACTGTGTTGCAAGAAAAAAACGTTGCAATAAATGCTGGTCGGGTGTTTGATAGCGATGGCGACAGAACGTCAACTCTGTGCATGGCCGTCGCGATCTCAGACGGCAGACTTGGTCTCCGCTGTTTCACGGCGCTGCCTCGCTCCTCGTTTCACTCTGGTTCACTTCAACACTCGCCCCGATAACGCCTCTCCAGCTTTTGCTGGCGATGATGTACCGTGGGCTGCTGTTAGCGTGCGCCCCCCCCCCCCCCCCCTCCACCTACGTGATGTGTGTCTGTCGCTGCCTCGGACGTCTGTAGCCGCCCGCCACTGTCCTCGGCTGACCTGCGGTGGCCGCGCGCCGGCAGGGGGCGCAAACGCCGTCGGACGCCGGCGAGGCGGAGGGTGACCGGGGGTGCGAGACGCACCAGCCAGCTGGCGACACGGATCTCACTTCGCCCACGGACTCGGTCAACGGCCAGAGCGACTAGGTCAGGTCAGCGGCCGCCCGGCCGGCAGCGGCCGCCAGAGGCGCCACCTGTCCCACGGGAGGCACACCCGGTGTCAGACGTGTGCGAGCTCACGTCGGCGGGAGCTGCTGACCTGACCTGACCTGCTGGAGGTCCGCCCGGTCAACGGCGGACGGGGTGGCAGGCCTGGCTCCGGGGATGGCAGGCCGGCAGAGTCAGTCGCCTGTAGTGAGTGTTGCGTCGGCACTGTCCCAGGCCCGCACATGCCTGGACCGTGTCCGTCGTATACATGCGTACTGAGACGTGTAGTGCGACTCAATGGGCGTGTGTGACGTTGGCTGTTGTGTGTGCACTGAAGCTAGTAATGACTTCGCATGGATCTGTCTTGAGGGTATGTGAGGGTTGTTTGGGTTGTCTGCCTGCTGACTTGGCTGACGAGAACGCAATTCATTTATGATTAGATGTGCCTTATATGTTCATTTTTAGTATGCATATTGTTTGGGCTCACGTATGCAATTAACTGTTTGAACTCTGCGGGGTCATATAGCCACACACAGATATGTATGTTGCGGCGCGTTGAGTGAAATTATGTTGCCTTATCTTGGTATAGCACTATTACGGACAGGCTGGCATGTACTCTTATACCACCAGTGAGCGGGGGGCCTCTTCAGCCCATTCTGTCCGGTTGATAAGAACGCTAACCCGAAGCGTAGGGTTGAAAACACACGATGTGGTGAAGTACTGCTGCTTTTATGTAACCTTTCTGGGTTGTGTTTGCCCGAAATGAATTCGTGCATTTCAGGTGTTACTGTGATAATTTCCGAGCACTTTTTCAGACAAAATGTCAGTGGTGATAAAAGGCCGGAATAAAAGCAGATAAAGTTTCACTACATCGTAGTTCATTTACTACTAGTCCCCGATTACTAGATTCCGGAAATCGTAATGCACTAAAAGTGCTGGCCAACCCCATGGTCATGATCCATCGGGTTATTTCAAACGATTTTTGATGAACCACGCTGCTTGACCAACCAACAGCTTTCATAAAGCATTCTGCTATTCAGTGAGTTTCAAGACGCTTAGCATCGGTGTGAAGCGGTGCCAATGCCGTAACACATCTAGTAATGACAGCATTACGATTGGGTGAAAAGCCCTTGGTTTCCATGTGACTTTATTTGAACTTGTGCTCAACTTTGCACTTGGTTTGAAATAACGGCTTGGTACTGAACGCCAACTGCTCATCTATTTAAGGAGATATTGCCCGCAGTAATAGCCCTTTTCCTTGGAGAAAAACCAGGAGAATGGAGATATAGATGGATTGATATTTCGATAACATGCCTTTATCGAAACAATAGCAAGAGATAAAGGCATGTTGCCGAAATACCAACCTTTTATGTCTTTTCCCCGGGTTCTTCTCCGAGAGATATTGCCCGAGCGGTCCTGGGCAGCGAAGGGTTCACTCCCCATACAATATTCTCCATTTCCATTACTCAGTGGTGGGATTTAGTTCTCGTACACATCGTGGTAAGTCTCTACGGTGGCCGGCCGCGTCCCTAGTCGAACTACTGTGATGTCATCCACAATATGACCTTGCACTGAGAGGTACGTATTTGCAGCCGTGAATGCGTCATCATTTGTGAGCCGTCGGGTCCGCCTCGTGCCCATGCACCGAGTACTGATGTGATTCTATATGGGGAGCGCGGTTGTAGTGACGCCCCCCCCCCGCCCCTCCTCCCCTCCCCTCATCCCTGTGAGTGGGCGTTGGGTGGGTGCATAATGGCGTAAGCACATGCATTCCTGATTTCAAGGCGCCGCACCGAGACGAGGCGACTGACCTTTGTATCTGGTGGCTAGATTGCGGACCTGGCCTCCGGTCCACACTGGCCCATCCCCTGGTCCGGACCAGCTGGTCTTCCGGTCCAACAAGCCGTCTCTCGGTCCAGACCCGTCGGTCTCCCGGTCCAGACTCGTCGGTCTCCCAGTTCAGATCCGTCGGTCCAGCGGTTCAAATGTCATCCAGTAGTGTGTGCTGTGCAGGATGCAAATATAAATTCGTGCTACCAGAATCCTGGCTCTCTGGTGGTCCACGCACGCAATTCGTTGGCGCTAATCCGTTGTCTTTTGACCCCGACCCAGAGATCTGACCTACTCAGCCGATTTGTTACGCCTGGGGCGCATGTGTACTGGTTTGACAGCCGTCTGTCTCGATGCTGATTGGCTGATTTTGAGCAAGGGGAGAGGCCATAGGCAGTGAGCCCAAACCCGGGGTGTTACAGCATGAAAAAATATCAACATACCGGCCACCCAAGTGGCCGAATATTGGAGCATTGCGTCGGCCTCACGGTCTAATCAGCCGGTCGCCCGGCCCAGACCTGCCGGCCTCTCGGCCCAGACCCTCCGGTCTCCCGGTCCAGATCAGTCGGTCGTCCGGTCCGGACCCTCCGGTCTCCCGGTCCAGATCAGCCGGTCGCCCGATCCAGACCCACTGGTCCTCCGGTCCAGATCAGCCGGTGCCTGGGTCCAGGCCAGCAACGTCCCACCATCGTCAGCAGACCGCTGTCGGCACTGGCGCAGGTCGACCGCGCGCTCCCGACCGGCCGCCGGCGGCGGACTGGACCCTGCGATGTCCCGGCAGAGACGCGCCGCTGCTCGGGCCGCTCGGCTGCGATGGGCATCGCGAGCGCCACCGCACGTCACAGCGCCATTGCCGCAGTCATGTCAATGGTCGGCGTTTTCTGTTTATATTCTCGAGGATGCCATCGACAGCGCCGTGTGGTCCGCGGACGCCTCACGTTGGGTGGGTCTGGTTTTGAGTGAGGTGGAACGATGGAGGACGGCCGGCACCGGTCCTTCCCCTGGGTGACAGCCATGCCCCTGTGATCGTGCGTTGGCGCCGACAGCGCCCCGCCGGTGAGCCGGTTCCGATCGATGCCAGGCCGATGGGTCGTGTCCCGAGGAGGTCTCAATAGCCCTTCAACAGTTGTGTTCACAGGTCAACGGACATTGTTGGCCGCATGCTTCCACAGGCACGTAACTATTCAGCGATGCTTTTTTCTACTACATGCTTCTGCAGGCACTAAGATGTGGGGCTTAGTGTGTGTGTGGGGGGGGGGGGGGCAAAGACGTAATCTTCTGCTAGCTCCTTTGAATTGGACCGAATTCGTGCGAAATCGTTCAGCATCAAGTGCAGACCTGTTGGCCCAAGGACATGGCCCTGTACACACTTTCCCAGCCCTCCCCCTCACTACGTCCCAGACTTGTAACGGGCAAGAAAGTTGGTGCTCGTTGCTTTGTGCCGATTACCAGGCAAGCCTATCTGAGCCCCTTTGGGACATGGCCGTCGGTTTGTCACTGATCCACATGACTTCTCAGGCGATGCGATCTGATCTTTGTCAACGACCCGGTTGTGTGTTTGGGAGGCACGTCGGGCGCATGTTGCATTTCTAGATTGCGGCACAGGCAGTGTGGCAGGCACCCAGTGCTGATGCTTGAGGCACGTGTTCGGTGGCTTGCGTGTGTGGCTGGAAGACACGTGCGGTGCATGGCACCTGTGAATATCATGAATAAACGGCTTTTCTGCGTCTGTGTCGCTGTGCCGTACAGCGCTTCCAGCGATGGCTCGGCGCAACAGTTCCTGCAAATTCTGTGTTTTTAGCACGAGGAAGGGCACACGGAATGTCAACATGTTACCGACGTGAACATGTACAAATGATGCGGACGAGGCGATAGCTTCCTTCGGCGATGCTGGGATTGTGAGAAGCTGGTAGTACGGGTGAGAGGCTGACGGAACGCACTGGTCTTACCTGGAGCCAGGAGTTGATATCGGATCACGTGTTTGGCCACAAAGGTTCCGAACATTGTCATGTGCTCGGATACAGGCGTTCCTGACATTAGCTCTCGATTAACACGCCACCAAGACTCATGCATGTTTGTTATGCGGTTAAAAAGCAGTGCGGCCATTTGGCTTAATGGAGTGCAACATTTATTATACTAATGTGGTGTCTGTTTCTGTTGTCATTCTATCTTCTAAAATAGGTCGGTTCGGAGAAGCGGAATGCCTAGCATTAGTTGTTACTGCATGAGATAATGTTCCACGCATTTCTGTCGTGATACGCAGATGAATTCGATAGTGAGAGAACTGGCACATGAGTCGAAGGAGATGTGCCATCTTACTGCTGAAAAGTTACGAGCACCTCTAACAAACATGTCGTTCTCTAAAATTGTTCCCGAGTCTCGTTCAAGCCCTGACGGACGAAACGGGGTATGATGGGTATTATCTCGTTAGAGCTTCACGAGCCGCGCTGTCCTGGACGTCTTCGGAGATATCCTGCACAACCCACGCTCGCCAATCGGGTGATGTTTACCAGAGACGATACAGGCAGGCGTGGCGCGTGCTCCGTCACAAGAGGCAGGCACGCCTGTACCCTTCGCCAGCTCTGGGTCTGCGTCACTAGGTGATCATACACTCCAAGCATACGTCACTTATGGTTGTTTAGGGCCTGGTAGGCGCATGTGGATCTTGATACGGTGTGGGATGCTGTAGCGGCTTCGAAGTTAGGTGCGTTTCAGTCAAATATAAGACAAGGTTTCAAATGGCAATATATATTATAATTACTGTATGATAAAAACACCTAACACCAGCCACTGAAGAGCATGTAAGCACTGATGATTGGCGTGATATAACAATGACAAGCGTTGATGAGTTCGCCATGGACACAGAAGACCCTCAATCTTCTGGCGAACACAGGAGATCCTCATTCCTCCTCTGGTGAACACTGAAACAGACGCGCAGTCTTAGTATTCCATATTTGCTAAGGACAACCAACATATTCAGGTTTTCCAGATGTACGTTTTAGAGCCGTTGTGGGATTCTGTCAAGCGCACGGACGCAGGCCAAGTTTCCCTTCACGACAATTAGCCTAACAATGTGCTGGTTCAGCGGCCAGGAACGGCCCGAACCGGCCACTCACACTTTCGGCTCGCCTATGTCTTGGCAACCAAACAATTGTAACGTCATGGAGCTTGTTCTGTTCTGGACGGTTGACATGATTTTTAAGACGTTTTGCCGCAATACTGTCAATGTATGCGCTTGCAAACTTGATTGACTGGACTTGGTTCTCATGCAGGAACGTAACATCACGAATACTTTAACAACTCCTGTTCGATTAACATGGAAAACGTTAATTCAGAATTTGCAACGATGCTGAAGAACACGGGTCGAAACCGGTTTCTGATGACCACGACCCCGGGTGTCAGCAACACTCGACCAACAACAGTTTGAAGCGGGTGGCAACAGGCAGTCGCATTCATAAAACTGCAGGTCAATAAAGTACTGGACTGCGCGCATTCGAGCGTCAATAAATGATCCGCTGGGTTAGCGCGATTTTTAGGGATTCGCTTCAGATCTTAGCAACGTCGGAGATCGGAGAGAGAAAACGCGACAGTATGGGATTAAATAAGACAAGCCAAGCTAGGACATGTCAGCAAAAACGTCACTCGCTCCAAGTTCACCAGCTCTATTGGCTGGAACTGGCGGGACAGGGCCGGCCTGCAGCCAGCCTATTTTCAGGCAGTGTGGTTTCTAAACCTGGGCATGAACACTGCTTATGTGAACCTCTGACGAGCTTATGGCAGATGGACACCAATTCCGTTAGTTTTAGAACGGTCATAACATCACTGCACTAGTAATGCCTATTTGTATGGGTTCCCAAGGGTGATTGGCACAATCCGCTTCTGCATGATGATGCGTAACAGCGCTCCATCCGCCCCATGCAACGAAATGCGAGTTTTTTGGCAAAATGTATGATATAGTTGTCAAAAAAGTTGATTGAAGGGAACGTTCCACATTTGTATCGGGTTAACTGAAATAGATATATTGAAGATCACCCTGCGCGGTTCACCGCCCTGCCCTTCTTAATACCTAAATCTCTCAAGTTTCTGAGGTACACGTCCGTGAATAAGTGCAGACTATTTTGGGGGAACTATTTCAAGGTGACTCTGGCATCTATCTTGCCGCAATAACGTCATTCAAATCCTGTCATTTCTTTGTCCATGCGGCGAGTAAGGGCAAAAAACAGCGTTGACGAGTCGTTCGTATCTAGCGTTTGTGAGCACAATTTCCAAATACACTGTCCGTCAGTTGGCTCTCAATTAGTGTTGTGCAAGGTATGGTGACCCAATCAAACAATGAGGTGTTGGGGGGCATATTCACTAAATAGAGAAATTTCGATGGCTAGAGCAGTCTTTTCCAGTTAAAATTACAGTAATAATTAGAAGTGAGCTTATTTCATTATATCTGATACTTGCTTTAATATCTTCAAATGTGGAGCATTTCTTGAAGATTGAAGAATATTCTGAGGTCTATAGGATGGGATGTCCATGCCATGCAGCAAACATCATAGCAACGATTTACTAGGTCCTTCATACGAGTGCAGGATGAGCTCCGATCTTTGCTACGCTCTATGTTGAAATGGTCCGCATATCTTTCCTAACCCGGCCCATTTTGCTAGTCCCATGACTCCTCAGAAAATAAACACAGGGGGAAGCCCCGACGCCAGCCACCAGGCGCGGCCACGCACCAGCCCCGCGGCAAACTCACAAAGAACTCGACGAAGCAGATGTGCCCGTCGTCCGTCTTGATCATGTACTGTAGGCAGAGGAAGCCGCGCGCGTCCGTGCGCAGCGACACCTTCTGCGACTGGGCGAGCGGCTTGCCGGAGAGCTTCATCATGGCGAGCCGGTAGCGGCTGCTGGAGGTGCGCGGACACTGGAACAGCTCCACCAGCTCGCTGTCGCCGCCGATCTCCACCTGCGCAGACGCACGCCCACTCTTTGAACTCGTCACAGCAGCGGACACTGGAACAGCTCCACCAGATCGCTGTCGCCGCCGATCTCTACCTGCGCAGACGCACGCCCACTCTCTGAACTCGTCACAGCAGCGGACACTGGAACAGCTCCACCAGCTCGCTGTCGCCGCCGATCTCCACACGCACAGGCGCACGCGCACTCTCTGAATTCGTCACAGCAGCGGACACTGGAACAGCTCCACCAGCTCGCTGTCGCCGCCGATCTCCACACGCACAGGCGCACGCTCACTCTCTGAACTCGCCACCGCAGCCGGCGTTCGGGACATCGGGCCTCAAGGTGAAACGCGCTCACGCTGATGGAAAACCACTCCTGTGCGTTCGCAACGAGGATAGGACGGTACCACGCATGCCTTGACACTCACTGGGGGTTTCTATGTTCGGTTTCACGCCTTGCTGTTACTGTTTAAAGCACCGTATCCCTCACCAGTGATGACTCAGCTTAAGTGCAGACTACGGTGCCGACCACGCACCTTGGTCTCCATGCCAGCGCCGACGGCGGAGAGCTGCAACCGGGGAGGGCTCGGACAGAACACCAGCTCCATGACGTCACAGTCGACGTCCATCTCAGCCAGCGCCTCCCGTAGACAGTCGGACCTGCGTGACCCCGCCCGGTCCCGTTAGGAGGGGCGGCGCACGATCACTGGGCTCGTGCGGCCACTGCGGCACCGCTCGCGGGTCCAGGGAGCCGGAGTGAGCCGTGGCATGTGGTCTGGTGCGTTATTCTGTTAACAGCAAATGATGCGGATCCGATCGCCTTTCAAGAATGCTGGCTGACGGATGACAGCAAGCTGACTTGTGAAATGCAGCCGTGAAGAACTAGATGTGTGATCTCAACATAAAGAAGTGTGGTCGCGCAATGGTACTTGACAATCGCTTTGTTGACCACATCTGAGCTGTTGAAGCTGAACTCCATGATGTCTTCTGGCAGTTGCGTCTTGATAGAGCAATCTGTGAGGACACCACTTTCTTCTAATCTGAGGAGGAACCCCAAAACAGCTTATAATACTTTGCTAAGCAACATTCGAGAATGACCAATTCAAATATTACAAAGTGCATCAAAAGTTTGGAAGGGCACCTGCTACACCTGAATGCACTTTACAGATGGCATTGCTTTAGGACACTGAGCCCCGTAACTCATTGGAGTCCAGCTCCATAAACTGTTTGGTGCAGCTTGCAGACTTATGCAATGTGCATCACACTAATAAACATATACCTCTGCCTAGTTCATCATTGCCAAGAATGGTATCATGCAAACCACTCTTAAGCTTAGTTATTGTGTTTCAGGACAGTCCCCCAGCCACATGTAGACATGAATGAGGTTAAAGACAAGAACAGTGACATGGGCCTCCATAGTGCCCACCCAAAAGGCATGTTGAGCATTTCTTTATAACATAATCATTTACCAAAACCACAAATTTCAGTCCATATAATTTGACTGCACACACTCCAGCACTGACACTATCACCAGTGGATGGCCTTCACCAGCATAGCACATCTTCAGGGCAGTGGTGGCACCTGCAGTACTGCCTGAACCAAAAATGTTCAAGCAATCCAACAGGACTGAAAGATTTATCTTGAATGATAATGTCTCTTCACTCAGCACAAATGGCTGAAACACAAAAAATGAATGCAGTAAAAACATGCAGCAAACTAGTAGAGCATTCAACATTGCAGTGTAAACTGTCAGGGATGGTTATAGTGTGATTTGACATGCC